GTTGAAAAGGAGTTTCCTTGAGGGTATGGCCTGCATCCAATATATGTGGACTTTCTGGCAAAGCTGGCTGGCTTTTGCTCTGCTCTGGATCCTGCATCTGGCTTGTCAGCATCTAACCTCCAGTTCTTGGGACTTAGGCCAACAACTGCCATCTTACCTGCTGATTTGGATTCATCAGCCTTCACAGCCATGAGCCAGCAGCCTGCTATCTGATGTGTGGATCTTGGGTTTGTCAGCCTCTGCAGCAACGTGAGTCAGGAAAAGCCTCCAGCCTGTTGCCTGACCCGTGGACTTGGGACTTGCCATTTCCTTGAGATAAATGTATATGTATATACATACCCTTCACAAGTTTTCCTTCTCTAGAGAACCCAGCCTAAGACATTTGGTTCCAAGAGTGGTTCTAGAGAAACAAAGCTGTAAGGATGAGTTTTCTGAATTGGTTCTCAAGTCTGGTTAGTCTTCGTGATATTGATAACTTTGCTTCCAGTAGTAAAGACGGCACTGCCAACATGAGGCATGAGGTGGCAATACAAATACACAAAATATCATCACCGGTAGATCAGGTATTGGTGAGAGGCGAGGCTCTCTCCACACTTTTGTCAGAATGAGAAGTATAAGGAAGCTGGTTGGTTGGTCCTATTTTCACTAGACAAAGTGGTAAAAGAAAGAGATAAGCTCAGGGCTTCAGAGTCACAGCTCAAGTGCCGTTTCAACGACCTCAAAGCTTGCACGTGTGCCTTGAAAGAAAGCCTTATTTCTTGTAGTAACAGAGCTGATATTGCCAAAAACAAAATTCAGAGTCTTATCTTAAGATGGCTGAATTACAACGCCAACTGAATTCCCAACCTCAAGTGGTATTTGAAGTTAAAATGAGGGCACTGATTGGGAATAAATAGGATCCTGAAACTTGAGATGGAGACACACGGGCAGATAATCAGGAATTGAGGACACTGATCCCCTAAATTTCGTTGAATCACTCCTGCCTACAGAACTAGCCCTCTCACTCCCATCTGAAGAGCTTATTTCATCTTTGTCTGCTAAGCCACCCTCTCCTCACCCTGATGAGATTAAACCTGTGATGTCTGAAGAGCCTTTGTCTGAGTCATTGCCTGGGGCATCGCCTGAGGCAGATGCCTTATAAGACAATGCTGAATGTTCTCAAGACACATCCCCATCACCCATTTTGGCTTCTAGACCTATAATTAGACTTAAGTCTCAGGGAGCCCCAAAAGATGAAGTACAAGGTGTGACCCAAGAGGGGGTATGCTACACTCCAAAAGAACTGCTTGACTTTTCTAATATGTACAAACAGAAACCTGGGGAATATGTGTAGGAATGGCTATTAAGGGTGTGGGATAATGGTGCAAAGAACATAAAGATGCATCAGTCTGAGTTTATTGATTATGGGCCCACTAAGGACAGAGTCTTCATTCAATATTTCAGCTGAAGAGGTTAGGAAAGGATCTAATATTTTATTTGATTGGGTCACTGAAGCATGGATTATGCGGTGGCCTACACTAAATCAAGTCGAAGTACCAGACCTGCCTTGGTATACTGTAGGAGGTATCCAAAGGCTTAGGGAAATTAGCATGTTAGAGTAGATTTATCAGGTTAGACCCACAGACCCACACGTGGAGTGACTAGAGGACACACCTTTTACCACAACGGTGAGGAACAAATTTGTGAAGGAAGCCCCAACATCCTTGAATACTGCTATGATTGCTATTTAATGTAAGTCAGACTTGATAGTGGGAACTGCCTTAACTTAATTAAGACACCTAACTACAATGGGGCTGATTGAACCCCCTGGTGGTAGGGGCCAAGTAGCGACACTCAATCAACAAAGGCAAGATGTGCGTGGTTACTGTAATGGGCAGCAGAGTCAAAGCACTAATCAGAATAGTGTGATGTATATGGACTTAAGGCATTGGCTACTTAGTCATGGTGTCACTAGGAATGAAATAGATAGGAAATCTACTAAATATTTACTTGAGCTGTACAAGCAGAAGAATTCTAGGTCAAATGAACAGCAGCCTAACTCAAATTGCCAGAAAAGAGAGTTACGGCCCCTCAGTCAATTCCCAGACTTGAGTGAGTTTACAGACCCACAACCCCTTGAATGAAGGGAAGGCTGGGTCCCCTTGAGAAAGGACCCCACTACACTGCCAAAAATTTATACATTAATCTTTCTCCCAGCCTTCCCCAAAGGAATCGACAGCCCTTTACAAGAGTGACTGTTCATTGGGGAAAAGGAAATAATCTGACTTTTTGAGAATTACTAGATAGTGACTCTGAACTGGCACTAATTCCAGGAGAGCCAAAACATCACTGTGGCCCACCAGTCAGAGTGGGGGCATATGGAGGTCAGGTTATTAATGGAGTCTAAGCTCATGTCCATCTCACAGTAGGTCCATTGGGTCCCCAAACCATCCTATAGTGATTTCCCCAGTTCCAGACTGCATAATTGGAATAGATGTATTCAACAGCTGGCAGAACCCCCACACTGGATCCCTGACAAGTGGAGTAAGGGCTACTGTGGCAGAAAAAGCCAAGTGGAAGCCAACAGGACTACCGCTACCTAGGAAAATAGTAAACCAAAAGCAGTACCACATTCCCAGAGGGATTGCAGAGATTACTGCCACCATCAAAGACTTGAAGGATGCAGGGGTGGTGATTCATACCACATCCCCATTCAACTTGCCTATTTGGCCTGTGCAAAAAAACAGATGGATCTTGGAGAATGACAGTGGATTATCAAAAACTTAACCGGGTGGTGACTCCAGTTGCAGCTACTGTTCTAGATGTAGTTTCACTGCTTGAGCAAATTAATACATCTCCTGGTACCTGGTATGCAGCTATGGTCTGGCTAATGCCTTTTTTTCCATACCTATTTCAAAGGACCACCAGAAGCTGTTTGCCTTTAGCTGGCAAGGCCAGCAATACACCTTCAGGGTCCTACCCCATGATATATCAACTCTCCACCCCTATGTCATAATTTAGTCCATAGGGTCCTTGATTGCCTTTCCCTTCCACAAGACGTCGCACTGTTCCCTTATATTGATAACATTATGCTGATTGGACTTTAAAAAAAAAAAATTGTTGTCCTCAAGTCGATTCTGACTCATAGCAACCCTACAGACAGACTAGAACTGCCCTATAGGGTTTCCAAGGAGCAGCTGGTGGATTCAAACTGCCGACCTTTTAGTTAGAAGCCAAGCTCTTAACCACTACGCCACCAGGGCTCCTGATTGGACCTAATAAGGAAGAATTGTCAATGACTCTGGACTTATCGGTAAAACAATTGCATGCTAGAGGGTGGGAAATTAATCTAACAAAAATTCAGGTGGCTTCCATCTCAGTGAAATTTCTAGGAAGTCCAGTGGTGTGGAGCATGTGGAGATATTCCTTCTAAAGATGATTAGAAAACATTTGGTTTCTCCAGGGTTTATTCTCATCTTCTGTAGTTCTGTGAACCTCTCTCTTCTTCACTGATTATTTATTTATTCAAAATGACTTTAAGTGCTTACTAGGCACTGTAGGAATTACACATAAAATAGGTAGTCTTTGCCTTCCTTAATTTAAAAATCTAAATTGAGAAATAAAACTGTCTCATATGAAATTTTCAAATGATTATTCAAGAAAGTTGTAAGGCTTTTTGGGTGTAATACAAACCTGTTTAGAACTCTGGTCAGAATCTCACTAAAGGGCACGGTCCTCCAGACTGACAAGTTGCTCAAGATTTCAGTTGTCAACCATATGCTTGAGAATCCTTATGACACCTGCTTCTGACCTGTTAGCTACAGATTTGGAGGTTCCTACTACCCCCTCAGGATGGCAGCTGTAAGCTCAGGGTCCACAGGACCCCACGTCAGTTTTGACCTGCTGGCTCCCACAACTCCTTCAGATTCAATAAACTAGAACAACTGACAGAACCCAGGAAAGTGCTATGCTTATGATTCTTATGATTACAGTTCTATTATAAAGGATACAAATCAGGACCAGCATAAAGAAGAGACACATAAGGCAAGGTCAGGGAAGGTAGCCAGTATGAAGCTTCCATGTCCTGAAAAAGGCATACCATCCTCCTGAGACCTGATGTCTTTCATCAACCAGGAAGCTAATGGAGAGTCAGCATCCAGAGCTTTTATTGGTGCTTTTGTTACATAGGCAATGATTGAATTACGGCTCATGGGTTGAATTCAACCTCGAGCCAGCCTCCTCCTGTGAGGTCAGTTGATACCACTCAGCAGACATCATGCAGTTAGCGTCATGTGGTGGTTCTTATAAAAATGGTCCGCCCCCACTCTACGTGAGTCATAAGCCCTCAGGTGTGGTCTAGAGGCCTCATCGAACTTCAGTCACTGGAGGAAATTCCACGGTCTTAGAGGTTATCTCTCAGGAACCAAAGACGAAGACCATATACTTTGGGGAAATTAAATTCTTTACCCCACAAAGGCCCACACTAGAAAACTTCCTTCATATTTTAAGAATGAGGCAGGCCAAGTTCACCTAAATCAACATCAGTCCAACTCTTCGATAAATATTGGCAAACTAGATGGTTCAATCTTAAGGAAAATAAGATGCAGTTGCCTGGGTTTGTCATACAGATCACTGCTCAGATCAAAGAATGTGTTTGAACACGTTAAAAATATGAACACTAAATAGGTCAGGAATTATATTTAAGTGGGGTATAAGCCATTTAAGTGTTTTTAATTCCCTCTCAGTGCTGGCCAAAGGCATATTCCAGACACATCTCCAGCATTTCTTACCCAAATCATACTTTACATTTTACAGTTTGCTTTCATGTACATGCCCTAGTTTAATCCTTAACAGCCTTCTGAGGCAGGTAAGACAAATAAGAGACACCTTATTTTACAGATAAAGAAACTGAGACTCAGAGAGTGAACTGGCTTGTCCACATGGCCAAAGAGAGTTGAGCCGTGTGTCTTAATTCCTTGTTCTGTGTTCTTTCCACCACAAAACACCCGTTATCTTCAAAGGATATAAAATCAGCAGTTGCTGCAATTGAGGTGAGCTTTTGACTACTTTATTTCCCCTCACAAACAGAAATCAATTCAACCAACTTTTACTGAGTACTTACTAATGCAAAGGCTGGAAGCCCTATTCGTAAGCCCATGTGACCCTGTGAATGACTGTGTCTAAGTGAAGAATTAAGGTAATTATCCCGGAGATCCGGGGGAATGGGGGGAATTTATTCAGATAGAATTTCTGTTCACAGTAACAAAATGCCTGAAACATACTCAGTACAATATTTTTCAAAGCCTTCCCATTTGAACTTTTTATTTATTTAGCAACAAAATTTTATTTGGCCATTCCAACAAAATGACAAGATCAATTGTGACTTGTCTTTGTTTTGTTTTACAGACATGACCGGAATTAGCAAACTATTTTAGACAGAGAATTACCAAATGCTAGCGGTGAAAGGGACCTTGAAGATGACCTAACCCAAATCCCTAAGGCGGTTTGACCAACATCACACAGATAATTGCTCAGAATGTCCGCTTCACTTGGCATGTATAAACATAAGTATGTTTATTAGAGCTGGGGAAAAAAAAAGAAAGTTCAACTCCTGCCCACTCTGGAGGCCAATTGTTAGAGGTGACAGGAATTGAAAACATGAGTCAGTCAAGTTTCCTCACTTGTGCATAGTTAAGATCAAGGAAGCAATACCTTAATGCTATAAGAATTTTCTATACTTAAGTAAACATCCGTGTTTAGAAGTTTGTCCTATAGCTTAGGGCAACACTTTACATTTATTATACCTATTGTGCTTAAAAAAAAAAAAAAAAAAAAAAACCTCTACAAGAAGACAATAAACTTGCATTTGTCTTATTGTGCCACACAACATCTTTGGTATATATTTGAATAATTTGTCTGAAATGTTGTCTTCCTGGGAGAACTCCAAGCTCTACAAGATAGTTAAGCCATTTCTTAAGCTGAAAGCAAATGAGTGGTGACTGAGATTGAATTTGAGCATGAGAGAGAAAATAATCTATTTCAGTACTTGATGGTTTCTTTAATAAGAATGTGGGGTTATGAAGGGTTTGAGTGTTTGGTTTTTTCTTTAGTAATTCTTTTTCTTCAAAAATGTACTCCAAACCATTTTGTGTATATCTTAAATTTCCAAGTATTTAAGGTGGCCATATTTGTTAAGTTGCAATCAGCTATACAAGGCATTAGTATTATACACTGTCCCATTATTTCCCTCCCAAAATTAGCTACAGAATATAAAATGATCTATAACCTAGATCTGATAGCGAAGTCAAGAGAAACCAAAACCTACAGATTGTCCACCTTGGACATTTTGCTTTGTCCTTTATGCAAATATTGGAAGGTAATAGAATGGATTCATTTGCATTTCTACTTTTCTCTTTGCTCTTTGAAATGATAACCATCAGTAAGAGGTATCAAAAATGGGCAGGTGAACAAATAAGATGGGGAAAATCGAGAATACAGATTATCAGTCCAAGAATGGTTGCAACAGCCCGAATACTTAAAATGTCCTAAGGCACATAAGCAACAGTGTGACCTATAGAATACACCAAAAAAACCAAATCCATTGCCATTGAGTTGATTCCAACTCATTGTGACCCCATGTGTTACACAGCAGAACTAAACTCCATAGGATTTTCTTGGCTATGATCTTTACAGAAGACTTTCTTTAGTGGAAACACTGGGTGGGTTCGAACTGCCAATCTTTCATTTAGTAACTGAGTGCAAACCATTTGTACCTCCCTGGGTCCTATAAAATACACAGAGGGACCTGTTTCATTATGGTAAGAGCATAGAATTTATGAGATCAAACCAACACTTCCTAAGGAATATTTTAATGACATAATATTATAGATGTCACCCTGCCATTGTCCTCTAATGGTGAAGATTCAAAGTGAGTGTTCCTTACTTGCCTTTAATAAGCCACCTGTATCTATTATCCATGAATTTATCTAAATCCTTCTTAAGAAGAGTTATAACTTTAGCCTTCACAATTTCTTAGAGTAGATTAGGAGAACCTTTTTTTTTTTTTTTTCCTTTTTTCTGTTGTAATTCATTAATCTAGTTTTTTTAAGAAAAGTCTGAAGTTCACCCAAGTAAAAGTATTTAGCTTAGTTTAAAAATATATATATAAAACACTAATAATAAAATACTGTTTTTCATTTAAGGGACAGTCAACCTTTATTTAACATCTGAAATAGATTATACTATGGTTTTACTTTATAGCATTCTAATGGAGGAAAGAGAAGAAAAAAACAATGAAAGGTATAAAGGAGGCATAAGAGGAGAAAGGAGAATAACCCAGGAATAGAGGAATTTAAAGGGATAAAGAGAAAAAAAATGGAGGGGAAAAGAAGAACAAGTGGACTACAGTTCAGTTTTTCCTAATGTGAGTTAGAAATAAACTAATCTTTTCAGTCTGATGTTTACTGGGCTGTGTGGCCTGAGGATGTTTTATCATTGTCCTTTGAAACGTTTACTAGATGCTGAATCTCTAAGTGAAACATTCACTGTGGCGAATTTTTTCTCAGGGTTACATACAGTAACTACAACCAATGCCATGTCACCTCCCAAGGTTTTTGGCAAAGGTCAGATGAAACTAAACCATACCTAACCTACTCCGCCCAGAGTCTTATATTTCAGATCCACGATATTTACTAAGCAAAGAAGTGCTTTCTTCCATTGACCTCAAACCTTAATCCTCATGGTTTGCCCCTTGGGTTGTGGTGAGGAAATCTGTACTTGGGCTGTAAACATCTTTGATGGTTTTACAGATTTCCCACATATTCATTGTTGGCCTTAGTCTTTCCAGATTGAAAACCAAAAACCGTTGCTGTCAAGTCGATTCTGACTCAAGGCAACCCCGTGTGTGTCAAAGTAAAACTCTGCTCCATACAGTTTTCAGTGGCTGATTTTTCAGAAGTAGGTCACCAGGACTTTCTTCTGAGGTACCATTGGGTGGTCTTGTTTAGCAGCCCAGCACATTAACCATTTGCACCACCCAGTTTCATACTGAAGTCCTGGTCATTTCAGCCCCTAATAATACTAGCAGCTTCCATTTACTTAGCAATGCCTGTTTGTGCCTAGTAATCTTTACAACAACTTGTGAAGTAGCTATGAGTATTGTCCGTATTCAAAAGATTTGCCTTTGAGGCACAGACGGGATAAAAAACTTGGCCATGATCCCACAGAAAGCAGTAAAGCTAGACTCAGGGCTCAGGCTATCTGACTCTAAAACCCAGGCACTCTATCCTTCTTACTTATCCACCCTTCTTACTGAGCTTTTCCTTTTCTCTTCCACGTCTGTCAGTGTGCTGCTCTTCCTCTGCCTAGACTGTATGCCCTGCACCAAGATCATCACAGACATTTTTCAAGCTCTTCTTTAGGTCATAACCTTCCTTTCCCACATGAAGCTGGCCAGAAGTCCACACATCCCAGTCTGAAGGCTATCTTGACTTGGTTCTGATGTGAATCCAAAACTAAACCAAACCAGTTCCCGTCCAGTTGATTCTGACTCATGGCAACCCCATGTATGCAGAATAGAACTGCACTCCACAGGGTCTTACGTCAATCCTTAGCGCTTAAATACGATGTTTATGAGAAGCGTTGTTATCCTGAGGGCCGTGTTCTCTCTCTGTGTGTAGGTCTGCGTTCGTGTTTTTGGTTGTAGAATAAAATTTTTAGAGAGTATGAATTCTGTGTAGCTTATGTAGCATGTAAGGCAATTGACTTAAGGAAACACAAACCAGATGGTTAAGGAAGAAAAATTATAGATAAATAAGAGAGAAAAGACGATTACTCCCCAAAAGTTACTCCACACGATTGTGTGGCTATCCATACAAACGTGCCTAAGAATAATGGGCTGCGGGGGGAGAATGGATTTTTTTTCAAATTACTTAGGCCCTAGAATTTAAATGTGTACTACCGTAATTTTATAAGTGAAATGAACTCATAAAGGATAAATGCATTTGGTTAGGGAATTTTAGTAAGTAAAAGTTACCTTTTAAAACTATCTTGGAATAGCTTTGAGCATTCCTTATCATTTACAGAATCACCAATCTATATCTCTTCTAGCTGCCTAAGCAGCTATAAAGCTTGGCTAACCTGGACTTTATTCTCTTTTCCAGATCTTGGCCATCGTGTCTATCCTGTTCATCGTACTCTCCACCGTTGCTTTGTCTCTCAACACACTACCAGAGCTGCAGGAAATGGATGAATATGGACAACCCAGTGACAACCCCCAATTAGCACATGTCGAGGCTGTGTGTATTGCTTGGTTTACCATGGAGTACCTTTTACGGTTCCTATCTTCACCAAATAAATGGAAGTTCTTTAAAGGCCCATTAAACGTCATTGATTTGCTGGCCATCTTGCCATACTATGTCACCATTTTCCTCGAGGAGTCCAATAAGAATGTGCTGCAGTTCCAGAACGTCAGGCGCGTGGTGCAGATCTTCCGAATCATGCGCATCCTCAGGATACTCAAACTCGCCAGACACTCAACAGGCTTGCAATCTCTGGGCTTCACCCTCAGGCGGAGTTACAACGAATTGGGCTTGTTGATACTGTTTTTGGCTATGGGGATAATGATATTTTCCAGCCTAGTATTTTTTGCTGAAAAGGATGAAGATGCTACCAAGTTCACCAGTATCCCTGCATCCTTTTGGTGGGCCACCATCACCATGACCACTGTGGGCTATGGTGACATTTACCCTAAAACATTATTAGGGAAAATTGTGGGTGGCCTCTGCTGCATTGCTGGGGTTCTGGTTATTGCCCTCCCCATCCCAATCATTGTGAACAACTTTTCTGAGTTTTACAAGGAGCAGAAACGCCAAGAGAAGGCAATTAAAAGGAGAGAGGCTCTTGAGAGGGCCAAAAGGAATGGAAGCATCGTTTCTATGAACTTAAAAGATGCCTTTGCTCGAAGTATGGAGCTGATAGATGTCACTGTGGAGAAGGCAGGAGAGTCAGCCAATACAAAGGACTCGGCTGATGATAATCACCTATCCCCAAGCCGGTGGAAGTGGGCCAGGAAGGCTCTGTCAGAAACGAGCTCCAACAAGTCATATGAGAATAAATACCAGGAGGTTAGCCAAAAAGACTCCCACGAGCAGCTGAACAATACTTCTTCATCCAGCCCACAGCACCTGAGTGCCCAGAAACTGGAGATGCTGTACAATGAAATCACCAAAACACAGCCTCACTCTCACCTGAACCCAAACTGCCAAGAGCAGCCCGAGAGGCCATCTGCGTATGAAGAAGAGATCGAGATGGAGGAAGTGGTCTGCCCACAGGAGCAGCTGGCCGTGGCGCAGACCGAGGTCATCATGGACATGAAGAGCACCTCCAGCATGGACAGCTTCACCAGCTGTGCCACTGACTTCACGGAGACCGAGAGGT